TATCGATCTCATTTGTAGAAACCGCAGAGATGACATCATCGACGAAACGTTTCCAAAACGATAGGGACACCGGAACAGAGGCTAAAGCTCTTTGTTCGACATCTTCCATTACTAAATTAGCAATTACTGCCGATGGAGTCACCAGTGATGGGGTCACCAGTTTCGGCAGTAATTGCTAATTTAGTAATGGAAGATGTCGAACAAAGAGCTTTAGCCTGGAAACGTTTCGTCGATGATGTCATCTCTGCGGTTTCTACAAATGAGATCGATATTCTGCTGCAACATTTAAATTCTATTGAGCCGTCCATCCAATTCACGGTAGAACGTGAGATGAATGGACATTTAGCTTTTTTAGATTTGAATGTACACAGAACTGTCGAAGGGAAGTTAGAGACTGATGTTTATCGCAAACCCACACACACAGACAAATACTTGTCATACGACTCTCATCACCCAGTAAGCCATAAAAGATCCGTAGCAAAAACTTTGCTTCAAAGAGCTGAATCGTTGCCAATCTCGTTCCCAGAGTATGCCTGTTCGCGGGTTAGGTTGTGGCATGACTCTGGGCATAGTTAATAGAAATAATGCTCTGGGGAAATCGAATTTTTTTATCCAAAATGAGATAAATGGCGCATGCGCTTTTATTGCTTTTGTTTATTCCGCTTACTAAATTCGCGCGGGCACACGCTCACAATCGATATTGTTTTAAACAACGATTCTCATCAGAATATAGTATACAAAATGGTTTTTTATACGTTTAAAGGTGGTTTAAATCGTACTACTATTAAATTATATTCAATGGCAAATACTGAAAGAGCTATGAAAGTTGTTCTAGCGAAAAGAGGGCTTGAATATTCGTTAAAAGACGAGACATTCAAATGTATCTCGGCCATAATGTAAAATGGTGAAGATGTTTTGGTTGTTTTGCCAACAGGTTACGGGCTTATTATGGCAAATATTAAAATATTTCAGCTGCTACCTGACGTGTACGACGTGTTACTTGGCGTAACTAATTCTATCGTGATAGTAATATCTCCACATGAATGACGAAGGCATTTCTGCATGCATGATGTCAAAGTATGATACAAGGCCATTCTGTGCTACACTATATTATGGTGATGGCAGCGATATCAAATTACCATTGGATCGACATGAGAACCTGACGCATAAGCTGTTCTATATGCACCCAGAAATGTGTGTCTGTGACAAGAAAATACAAGCTTTTTTGAACTGTATACTGTAAACCTCTGAATATAATGCTCACCTCATTCCAAATATAAGCCCCCCCCCCAAATATAAGCCCCCCTGAATATAAGTCCCCTGAATATAAGCCCCCTGAATATAAGCCCAGTATCCCACTATGTTATTTAACATTGACATTGTCTTTTAATATAGCAGAGAACGATATTTGAAACACTGTCATTGTCTTTATAGCTTACTATGTTAAGTTATTAATACATGTTTATTTTCCTGTTTATGACTGACTTGTTTATTACTAACACAATTGATCATCCATGTATAAGGCCCCCGTGCATATAAGCCCCCACCCCTAAGCCCATCAAAAATCACTTTCAAAAGAATATAAACCCAGGGCTTATAGTCAGAGGTTTACGGTATTATATATCCCATATTTTAACAATAAACACATTACCTTTTATATTATATTACATTAACATATATACATGGATCACATATAAAGTCTTTAAATGACAGTACACTGTGTTTGTAATTATAATTACCATAATTACTTGTGTCAAAAGTAAGAAATGAAGTGAACAAATCCATATATATTTGTTGAAAATTTCTTGCAGTGGGTATCTTCCATTTGTTTTTCATGCTTCACACTGTGTATCTTTGAACATTTAATCAGCAACTAATTATAGGCAAGGATATATTTACTAGCTCATTACTCCATATTACCAGGTACATAACATGCAAATTATACATCAACCTTGCAATCCAGGCTTTAACCCCTGCAGTTGCCCCTCTCCTGCAGCATGTTTGGGAAGGGAGAGGAAGGAATGGAGGTACTGTAATTTCTATATTTAGCCCCCTTCTCTTCAAGCCCCTCTCCGATACGCCCCCCCCCCCCTCATTTGGATACAAAAATAAAAAATAAATAAGCCCCCCTCCTCTTTTAACCATGCAGCCCTCATTCAATTTCTTAAAATCATGAAATATATTGCATTTCTGCAGTATTTTAATAAAATATAGTACAACGGTAACTCTGAATATGGACATTTTGTAATGGTAACCAGACTTATTGCATATATTTAGAACAAGTGCCCCCTCAATGATGCTTAGGAAACAATACACAGGAGGCTTGATAGTTGATATAGAAATTAAAGTAGTTATTTGATTGAAACTGGTAGCTATTTCAATTCTACTGTCAGTATCTCCTTTTATATATAATTGGATTAATTGCCAATATATTCACATAGTATAATAGTTTGGAAATGGAATCAATACTTGTATATTTTTAGCAAATGAGCATTGTTATTGATCAACAATGACTCTTATTGCTATAAACAACATTGTTTCACATAGCACATACAGTAGCAACAGACAAGGAAACATCTGTATTTAAATTCACTACTTATTTTTATCCAGACACAAATTGATGTAAAAATTGTTTCAGGTTTGGCTTAGTTATAGCCTTACATCAGGCTATTCCATTTAATATCCATACCCCCCCTGTCGAGGATCCCTGAAATTCTTCAGGGGTAAAGGGTTTTGAGCTTGGAATTCTTCAGGGGTAAAGTGTTTTGAGCTTGGAATTCTTCAGGGGTAAAGTGTTTCGAGTTTGGAATTCTTCTGGGGTAAAGGGTTTTGAGCTTGGAATTCTTCAGGGGTAAAGGGATTTGAGCTTGGAATTCTTCAGGGATAAAGGGTTTTGAGCTTGGAATTTTGGAATTCTTTGAACAGGGGTAAAAGGTTTTGAGCTTGGAATTCTTCAGGGGTAAAGGGTTTTGAGCTTGGAATTTTGGAATTCTTCAGGGGTATAACCATGAAAAACATGTATTCTCGACAGGGGGTGTACGGATATTAAATGGAATAGCCCATCATGCTGTCAAGTGGCAATCACTTACAAAGCAAATCTATAACCAAATGTTTTACAACCGAGGGTTGTAAGAAACACCTGGCATCTTAAATTTATATAGATCGAAATATATACAAAGACCACGGGCTACAACATGTTGAGTGTTGACCATTGACCATAATGTACTGTATTGTTTAAAGCTTCAAGTTTTTAACACAAGCAAAAGCTGTCACTCGAAAGTCCTGGCAACAATATGTCAATTTAACAAAACGACAACGTGTACGATGATTTCATTTAGCCAATTCTTCTCATGGTTATAATGAATATACTCGTACTGTAGATCGATAAAAAGTCATTCATAAATACCATGCCATTTTGTAAGTATATACCCAACGTCCCAATACTTTTTCATACGATTAATATCATATCCTTCGATTTATATCGTTTGATTTCGCATTCCAAATCTGATAAACATTGATAATTCTCTCTTCGCGTATGTCCACGCGTAATTCTCGCAAAAAACACGCATTAATTGTGTCGGCAGCATTGATGATCACGGCAGCCAATCAAATAACGATTTCGATTCGATTTCCCCAGACCAGAGTCACAGAGTAAGGATATAGAGAGTAAGGATATACTCTGTGCCAGAGTCATGCCACAACCTAACCCGCGAACAGGCATACTCTGGGAACGAGATTGCATGAACACGAGAGACTTTTTATTTGACTTCCATTTATGAATATTATAGTCTATAAATATTGTTATTTGTTGTTAAGTTGTTTTGTGATACATTTTTAAAACTACTGTTTTTTCAAACTGGTAAATATTTTCAAAGCCCCCCTTCTTTCGTCTCTCTGTATTTTTTCAAAGCCCCCCCTTTCAGGTTTTGAAAAATTTAAAGGCCCCCCCAGTTTCTCCTCAATCCCCCCCTGTACAGTAAATAATGAGCGGTCCCTAAGTATTTTGAATAGTATCCGAAATTGAGGAGATTTTGGTTCCGTTCGTCGCTAAATTTGCCCAAGCTACGATCAAACCATATTATTTAAAAAGAGAAATCTTTGCGAAAAGATGTAATCGAATTTGTTTTGGCGTACGAGAAGTTTGAGCGGAGATATTTGACATTGAAGGCGATGCGGTCGTGCCGCCAGTGATTAGCCTTTTACTGTTATATTATATATAGATGAGCACACACAATGTAGGCCACAGAAAATGTTACATCAACCGCTCTAAATGAGTTCATGGAGTAATTAAAAGAATGCAAAGGTATTATACTATTATGTCAACTATATTTTATTGTTAAAATGTATTTATTTGACTAATTTAAGAATGTTTTTAAAATAGTTTTGGTTGACTATAAATTTGTTTGTAAAAACCGTTAAAAACCCGCAACACCTGATCATTCATTCTGAGATTGGGCCGCCTGTGACCCTAGTGCCCTGAAATTTGCTGTTAAAAATTTACCTGTGCCAATTATAATAGAGCTTTCTCTGATTGATTTCTACTATCATGCTAAGTTTCTGAAGAAATGGGTGATTTTGGGATCCTCCCCCAGAAAATGTTTATATTTTTGAAGCTCCAGGACTGCATTTCTCCAGGACGGCACAAACCACGGCAGCTGAGTTCAGGCACAAACCACGGCAGCTTGTTGTAGAGTATTATTTCTACGGTGGTACGTGTCGTTCGACGTGCTGTGGAAAACAGGCTTTAGGCTATTTCACGTATGCCTGGGGTATGCCTGTGACGTAGCCGGCCAGTCACTCGATGCAGAGTGCAGACATAATACCAATGGCGTAGCCAGACCTTCATTTTTTGGGGGGCGAAACGAACGCCGAAGGCGTGAGATCGTCTAGGGGGGTCCGGAGGCATGCACCCCCAGGAAAATTTTGAAATCTAGAGTCCCTGAAATGCGATTTCAAGCATTTTTGGGATGAAATCTGGCAGAATTCCGAAGATTAAAAGTACATCGAAGACATAAACTTTCCCAGACATTTCTACTCAGAATTAATTTAAATATATTGGAAAAATCACCTTGAAAAACAAGAGGAGGAGGGTCAGTGTCACCTTATTTCCCCTCTGCGATGCTGGGGGGGGGGTGAGAAAATCCCAATGTCATCCTCGTACCCAGGGTCTCAGCAGGTGGCCGTGGCACCGAGAATAAGAGAAAATAGCCTGGGTACGAGGTTGTCCCAATGTGAGGTTCATTCTAGGTTGTATGAGACACCATTTCCGCATTTTCAAAATTGCGTTGCTTTTTTATACCATACAGAATAAGCTGCGAAGAATATTCATGCGAAGAATATTCATGCTTTTCTTGGAACCATATCTACAACTGCTTCAAAGAGATTTTACAAATCAAGTTCCTTCAGTATCCAGTTCCTTGTCGTTTGCCTCAGTCGATACGTACTTAATCAGTTTCAGCTTCGAGCATGTAACTTGTAACCGCCCCCCCCCCCAATTTCTCTACGGATTTTGCCTTTTTTAGAGAATGGTTTTTGTGGCGATTGGGGGTGGACGGTCGCCCCCCTTGCCCCCCCCCCCTCCTTGGCTACACCACTGCATAATACATATCATTATCTATGTTTTTGTCTTGGTTTATGCAAACAATGGTGGGTTTATTGTCACGTGTATATTGTTTTATTGTTTTTTTCGCCCAACTACACACGTAAAAACGCACAAGTTGTAATTCCAAACCTGCAGCAGACCTGTAGCAATGCCGTTCCAACAACTTGTCAACAGGATGTGTTCGCACTGCTTGTTCCCAGCTTGTTGACAACTTGCTGCAAGATTGTTGAGCTCAACAGACTTGTTACAAGTTGTTTCAACAACTTGAGTTGTTATCGTCCTGCAATTCAACAAGTTGTCAACAAGTTGTGAGTGACAACCTTGTAGCAACTTGATAAAATAACAGTATTGTTACAACTTGTTGACAAGCTTGCTACCCGGCTGTTGCGAACATATCTTGTTGACAAGTTGTAAGATTTTTACGGCGTGTGTAGCCAATAGCAGTGTGTTTGTTTAAATTAAATCACAGTTAAATAGTTAAATGAAAACATGGTTATTAGTTGCTGCAGCGAAAATACAATACAATACATGTGACGATGAACCGATCAGGCGATCATTCCTTGCGTAAACCAAGACATTGGTTTACGCAAGGAATTGTGTATTAGAGACCTTACGACATTGTAATAGAGACCTTACGATTTTAGGACGGCAACGCGACGGCGACGGCCAAAACAAACTGCTTCAAATAAATGGTAGTAAAGTTAGTTCGTCGTATATTATCAATCGTATGAATTTAATACAGTTTTAGAAGTTGAAGACATGGGTTTTATGGTTGGGACGAGTTCTGCTAAACCCAGTTTGAAGTTGCACTTGTTGCGACTTGGAATGCAGCCGTTGTATCAAGACGGGAAAATCTGTGATTTGGCGTTGTAAACAGAGCGAGGACAATGTCTAAATTATTCATATATTGTAATTACTCAATTCTTTTCAATGATCTATTGTATTGGTAGTCGTTGCCGTCACGTTGCCGTCCTAAAATCGTAAGGTCTCTAGAGAATGACTATGTTCCGACGCACTGGTATTGTCTGTGATAATATGATGGTTTGGAAGTCAGGCAAATTTCAAAGCCATAAAGGCCTTTGTTTGATATTGAACTGAACCTCACTGTGCACAAATCCCTTGTCTCAACTTTTAGTGATTTATTATTTAATGAAATATTATTCATCGTGGTTGCACGTTTCATCTCAGCTATCTCTATTGGTGGGTTTCACTTGGCAGCGCAAGATTTTAAATAAAGGCACAACGCTGAACAGGTTGGCGGTCAAAATTGTCAATCGACCAATATGACATAGTTTAAAGGCCTTCGAAAATAATGCTGACTCTGCAAAGCTCCAAAGCTCCGTAACTCGGGGAGAAATACGTGAATCGACTCAAATTATTTTGTGAACACTAGCCTACTAGCGGTAACCAGAGAGTAGCCGATAGACTAAATAAAAAATATTAAATTAAACATCCAGCATTGTACCTTTAATTTTAAAAGTTTGTGCCGCCAAGTGAAACTCGCCAATTGGACGATTTCTTCATTAGGCGAAAATACAACACATATAGCAGCAGAGACTGGAAGCATTAACTATATCATGCGTGCATGTCAAAGTATTGAACTGCTCAATCATTATTTGTGATTCACTTATAACCAGAACTTTGTTAAATAATTTTTGTACTAGCATATTTTGTCTTCTGTGCAGAACAAAATAAAGAACGGTTGTACACTTAGTTGGAAATATAATTATTTTCTTACTTAAAGCGAATCAACCGTGCAGAGACTACAGCAACCTCGTTCCCAGGCTCTTTCTTCAGGGAAGGAAAGTATTTCTTTCCTTCCCCGAAGAAAGAGTCTGGGAACGAGGTTGAGACTACAGTACAGGAAGTACAGGTGTATGTTATTTTATTTCTTAAATATGTTATTTTATTTCTCTTATAAAATTTGAAGGAAACATGCTATATACTTTATTTTTGTGAATATATATTAGTTTTAGTCTCAATGGTCATACAAAAACGAAAAATGGATATTTTCATAAAATTCTTAAAAATAATCGGGATATAAAACAACAAATAAAATTCCTTATTTTTGGTACTTTTTTCTGCCTAATGCTCATAAAATCGGAAAGTTTGAAAATAAGTTCGCAAACCAACATGATTTACATTCATCAACAGTTTTTCTAAGCGATACAACATTTTTACTATTCAGGAATCTCACTAAGTAATCAAATTTTCTATAAAAAACTCTTTCTATTGGTAAACCTAATATACTGTGGTACATACCACTGGCATTCTGTAGTGATTTTAGTATTTACCTTCTAAATTAAGTTAGCAATATCTGTACAGTGTTATCACACAACATGACACACCAAATCCTCGTACAATTTGATAAACCGTTCCTTACTTATTGCCGCACTGGTATTCTGTTAGGTGCATTAGGATTTTATCCACAGAATGTCCGATTTAAAAATAATAGAATCGGCCAAGTCTAACCCCACCCCACAGGAAGAAAAAAATAATGAAAAACTATGCTAAAAAATATTTAACAGGCTATGTTATATCGGCATTTGACAAAAGATATGGAACATGTAAATTTGTGTGATATTCTGTGGTACATACACCTGTAACAGTAATTGTTTTTGTGCAACTTTTTGCAGATTCAAATGACAATTGAACAGTTGAGTACTTTCATATGCGTATTCTAATTAGTCTCAGGGGCTGTTTACTTGATCCCGATTTGCTGGGATGGAATTAAGGTGGAATGATTTTGATCACTATAGGCGTAGTGTAGGTTGTTATTTATAGCACAAATTCGGACAAACAAACTGAAATTGACTTTCAAATGCCGACTGCACTTCGAATGAGCTATATTCTATTGTTACAGTAAACCCGCAAGAATATAATTGTGGGAATATTCAGACAAACTACACTTGTGAGGTCAATTGGGATACATGCTATTAAAACGCTGCATGGTTAAAAGAACTCAAATGTTGTCGTCGAGAAGATCGTAGTTCAAGAAGATTATTCGGCTGCTTAATTGAAAACCTTTCGTGTACAATTATACAAAAATCTATCACTAGAAAAATAATCAAGATTTTCTGAATCGTGCACCGTGACTTATTTCAATACATCAAAATCATCCCGGTTCACACCAAACACCTGCAATTCAGCTAAATGTTGCAATTCATCCCGGCGCAGAACGCGTCATGTGGATGCGCAGTCGCGAGACTCTGAATTCGCCCGTTATTGTATTGACACCGGCATCACCTGCTTCAAGATAAGAGTTGATGAAAGTTGAAAAGCAAGAGTTTGCATGAGAGTGTTCTCAACTCTATGAGAGTTGATGAGCGTTGACTGGATATATTACCAATTTGAACCAGTTGATGAGAGTTGGCGGGTCAAATGCGAGCGAGACTTGCAACTTTCACCAACTCGTGTCAATTTCGAGCGTTGTTTCACTGGGGATTAAGCAATGCAGCTATGTCATTTCGGTAGTCATTCTTGTATTTACACAAAAACTGACTATTTCGTCTGTTCGTCTGGAAAATTCTTCTTGAAAATTCTATGATCCCTCAGCCAGCCTGACGCCTTGACGGGTGATCACTTTCAATCTTTATAATCGAAGCCATTGTTGTCAAAATTTCACGACGAATGAATATTTCATTTAAAACTTCATGGGGAGTGAAATTAGGTAGATCAAACAAAACAACTTTACATTATTGCACGCACATATGAGTCGCATTGTATATCTTCATTTATTTTCATTAATGCTCATTTAACTGAACTTTATAAAATAGTCGTTTATTCTTCTTGATTATTTAGTGAGAATATTGTTTCGATGTATCGCTGTATTAATGATTAATGGCTCCAAAAGTAAGCCGTAGTATACCTCTGTTTAATAGAGTCAGAACACACGGCATACCGCCGTGTCCGAATATCGCGGCTCAAACACAGTATATTGCTACCAAAGCATGCATAATTCTTCCATAGTTTTTCTCAAAAATAGATCCCGTAGTAGCTGTATGGCGTTTTTTAACGCATCGTCAAGTTCAACGCAGGTGGCGTTTCGCCTTCGATGGCCAACATCTTCCATAAACGAAATCCTATACTCGTTTTCTTCTACAAGCAATTGTCTCGTCTTTTCGACCGCAATTTTAGCCCTTCTTTCATTGGGAGGCGGCGAAGACGGGTACACATCCGCGTAGAGTCTTAGGTCGTCTGGAATCGTGCTAAATTGTGGAAATGGAGTTTCTGATCCACGCTCATTGTCGCTATATCCATCATCACTTGATACTATTTCACTTAGGGTACTGTATATCGCATCAGGCCCCAAAGGACCTGGTTTTTCGTCACTTTGCTTTTTGCCATCCGACTTCAAAGTGTCGGAGCGCTGAGGTTCGGTTATATTTTGAGTTTCAACTAAATTTACTTCGATTGTAGGAAGTACAGAGTCCGGTATATGAATCGCAAAACTCTCCGAACTAATCTTCTCTGAATCGCCCACCGATGTTTTAATTAAACTTGCATTGTCAACAACTGTTTCCGAATTTGATACAATGTCCTTCGATACATTTTCGACCTCCGTACTTTGTGGCTGTTTCTTTACCCTCGGTCGACGAGTAGAGCGTTTGTGCTTTCGTTGGTTGCTTGGAGCATTAGGAACATTAACCGTTGGGGGAGCCGAAGGGACAAACTTTTTCCCAATCGGTGGCAGGACAGTGTAAACACGCGGAAACGAAAACGTCGAATCGTCTTTGGGAATATTCCTGTTTGTGTCCGTTAAAGTTCCCGAATTTTCTAACCCGAACGAGTTGAAGTTTATTCGGGGCAGGTTGCAATCCTGGCTTGATTTCAAATCAGTATTTCCATACGAGGACCTGCTATTGTGCTTGTCGTTGTAACTTGTAGCAATCGGAGGCAATATCGACCTGCGATTTGCAAGAGAATTCACCTGCATGCCAGTCGCGTTCGGATTTAGACCGTTCGCCATGACATCGTTGTGTAAAATCATGTAGAAAGCGGATGTAGAAGAGTTGCATACAACTTTAATCTTCTTCGTGTATAGCTGTTATTTTATAGCTGTGAATTTTGCATCTCAACGCAATTAAATGTGTCTCCAATCGTTCAACTAGCTAAAATTGTTTCCACATCATTAGGTTCGCTATCGAACCAGGAATTAAGCGCTGCATCACCCCTAGCACATACTTGAGTAGCCTTCCCGAATTTCTATTCGCTGTTCTATGCGAACATATAATACAACATTTCTTCATTTCAAGCCCATTCTGCATTCACCAAAGTTTTAGCAACGTACTCAGCTTCGAGGGCCTCCTGTTAAGAAATATCAATTCGATATACTGAGCTTATACTTCATAAAATTACAAAATTACACTGTTGCCATAGCGGGGGTAGTGCCAAGCAATTTGTACTGTTTTCGACCTAATGTTATTCGCTACGGCGCCTACATTACGCTATGACTGTCATTCATTAGAAATTCATGAACAATTAACACGGCTTGTACATATGCCAATACACCTGGCGATAGATAAACTACACAAATGCAAATGATGTGTATTGGATGCAGTTGACATACTACTTACATTTGCCCGTAATTTTAACTGACAACTAACGAAATATTTTAAATGATAGTTGGCAGACTATAAAACCGCAATTTCGGACTGAACTGTTGAAGATCGAGAGTGACAACCTACCGAATATAGTGCTGAATTTTTAATTTACATATCACATACAAAGCAGTCCCATATAAAAAGGTATATTCGATTCTATTTAAAAGTGCATTAATTTTTCGTTAGGGTAATTGTTGAAATTGCACTTGCAGATATCACCCTGATATTGTGCAATGATGATAATGCATATTGCTTTTCAAGTGTTTTCGGTAATATCAAAGGGTGCTTACGCTAAAGCCCTGGGTAAAAATAGTAACCGAACAGAGAATAGATCACTTTTTATAAATGCTTGTAAATTAAGGTTATTCATTTGACCTGGTCTTGCCTGTTATAACGTCAAGCGCAGGGCTAACAAGGAAAGATTGCCGGAAAAACGTTTGAAAATTTTGATCTTTCCAGTTGAATGTTTTCCCATTTGCTCACCCATGGATGGGAAATGATCCGAAGAAATTCAATTCAGAAATTTGTTTCCCAACGACGTGATTTATGTTGCAAATACAATGTTCATGGTTTGCCCAGATTCAGAAATATGGCTAGGAAACAATGTTCCCTCGTTTGTCCACCTAGGCTTTGGGAAACATGGCTAGTAAACAATGTTTCTTGGTTTGCCAACCTTTGGGAAACATGCTAGGGAACAATGTTTCCTGGCTTGCCACCTTTGGGAAACATGGCTAGAAAACAATGTTTCCTGGTTTGCTCACCTTCAGGTCAGAAAACATGGCTAGGAAACAATTTCTCACATGTATTGTGTGAGACACGCGCATTTGGCATCTATCGCACGCCCATACACACAACTCCTTTTTCCTCGAACATTTCAATAACGATCTTTATGATATTTCTTAGACATTTTACTCAATTAATGGCTGATGGTCCATTTGCACTTGCAACTTTTTCTTCGATTTCTAGTGCGATTTTCTTCTTCTGATGCATAAATGTGAACGACCAGATTGAGTTATGAATGTTCAGTATGCTCATCTGAACATTCATGACTCATCCGTTATATTTTTTACATCCATCAGAGGAAAATCGCACCTAAAGTCAGCCCTTAAAAGCGAACGTATTCTAGACCATTTGTTTTTGTGTTGACCACAACAACAGAAGATAAAGAGTGCTACAATTTCAATATTTTCAATCACAACTTGTATTTTTGCATGTATATTAATTTTAAGATTGAAGTTTGAGCGTTTACTGTTGGTTTCGTTTCTTAAAACTCACAAATGGTGGAAAATTTATTTCTGTTGTTTGAAAATGTTGATGGGCATGTTACTCGAGAACTTGAGCGTCAATGCTGTTTTTGAACTAGCTGGAGGGTGAGTAGTCACATAGTAAGGTACGACACTAATCCTCCAGCAATTCAAAAACAGCAATGACATTCGAGAGAAGCTCAGATTTAATTTCCACTCATTGAGTGTGAGCGAGCTTTTAGAATACGAGCGTAAATCTACAGACAATATTTCTGAAGAAATATTTCAAAATTTATAAAAAAACCTGTTAGGAAGTTTGCTTGAAGTAGAATTTTCAAAGTCCCCTCCAACAGGCAAAACAAGAACATAACTTTTGGAGCAATCCCCCCCCCCCCCGGAATCGGGCTTAGAAAAACAAAAATAGATAATGGGGACCAATAGACAATTCCCATTATGGACTAATCTTAGGGGCTGGTCAGAAAGTAAAAGCGGGGGTGGGCTGGGAAAATCAAATATTTGGTATCTGCAATTTTGATAGCCATCCCTTAATAGCTGCTCGAAAATGTGTAGCCCACCCTTAAATTGGTGCTGAAAAATTATGACCCACCCTTTCAGAAAGGTGAAAGATACCAGCGTCCATTTTTCTGTCGCCAAATAATTCTGTGTTACAATACTCACTAGCTATTTAAGTGGTGCAATTAAATACAGAAAGGTCTTTCTTTGATGGAAATTCGCATGCATGCTGCAGTATCTTTCAGCTCATAATTAGAGAACTTTAGTTTGACATTTACGGCTAACTCCAAACCGCTAACGATAATTGTGATTTAACTACGCTCTCTTAGAAATTACACTAATTTTGTTACATAATAAACATCCTGCACAAAGCTCGTGACATTTAGCAGTAATATCAGAAAATCAGTGGGATTCAAGCTCGACCGGTGTGGATATGCACTCAGAGTAACATCGCAAACAAATTATTCACCTGAGTACACAGCACCAACGCAGAGAAAAAAAGGAAAAAAAAAAAAAAAAATCAGAAAATCAGTTAGCAACTATTAGCCTCAGGGACGCCGGAACGATGTGAAGGGGAGCAGATTTTCGTGAAAGGGCACTTTTGAATTGATATATACTGAGAGATGTTTCCCAGTGTCCGCCACTGATTAGCCAAGACACTAAATTCAGCTTTTAAGTTTGAGGTTAACGTTTGCGGTATAAATTCTACACATGGACCCTGATACATTTTATTTCTATTTTTGTAACATAAATTTTAATACACGTGCCCTTGAAAAAATTCTGCATATTTTACATGGCCCACCCTTATGATTGCAATTAACTGTCGATGACTCACCCCTTCAACCGTGCTCAAAAATAGTGACACACCCCTTATTTTTCCCAGCCCACCCCCCCCCCCCTTATACTTTATGACTGGTCCCTTAGCAAAAAAAGTATATTCCCGGAAAGAACATACTAAAATGCGGAAATAAAAATATAGCCTTGCAAAGTTCGCAAATTTTTGATTACTCATTTTAGTATGCTCTTTCTAGCCGTGATTTATTTGCATCTCTTTGCCTATTTTTAAAATTAATCTATAATGGGATTATGGGAATCGCCTATTTAGTAAACATAAGAGACTTTACTTGGCTTCCATTTATGAATAATAATATTAAAGGTCTATAAACATTGTTATTTGTTGTTAAGTTGTTTTGTGATACATTTTAAAACTACTAATGTTTTTTCATAGTAGTAAATCTTTTTCAAAGCCCCTTTCTTTCACTCTCTCTGTATTTCTTCAAAGCCCCTTTCAGGTTTTAAAATTTAAAGGCCTCCCAGTTTCTCCTCAACTCCCCTGTACAATAAATAATGAGCGGTCCTAAGGGTCCTGAATAATTTATAGTTCGCTTGTGTTGGCTTGTGAATATGCTTATACCAAGATACAGTGGCGTAACTACTATGGGCTCAGACCGTGAGAACCCGGGGGCCCCAACCTAAATGGGGGCCCCCAGGCTTAGGCAATAGAGCAAAAACATTGGTCAGGGCCTCTGATATGTTACAATGTAGTTTTATGACCATCAGAATTCTGTAAAATCTCTCCCCAAAGCCCAGGAAATGACATTTCAGAGAGTCTAAATTCAAAAATTTTCCGGATAAGCATGCCCTGGACCCCCTAGAAATTTCGTGCATATACGGCGCTCGACTCGTGCCTTTGGCACTTCTACTAGGGGGGCCTTCGAAAATTTTGAACCGGGGGCCCCCTGATATAACGTTACGCCACTGCCAAGATAGACATGTTCGTCAGACGGATGATTTAAGTTGTTGTCTTAGCCTTAGGTAGTGCCAATAATTGCCAATAATATAAACAAACTTTCGTTGGTAGGGATACAACTACCTGAAAAATATAAGGAGAATTTCGACGTTTCGAGCGAAAGCCCTTCGTCTAGAGTTACTAGCAAAGTTCTAGTAGCTCCAGACGAATGATCTTCGCTCGAAACGTTGAAATTCTCTTTATATTTTTCAGGTAGTTGTATCCCTACCAACGAAAGCTTGGTTTAAGTTTAGCTTTATAGTACGTGTCAAATTGCACAGCGGAAAATATTCAAACATTTCTAGATTACAAAACGGTATCAGTATAGAATATGGCAGACCACCAAATAAAAAATTAATTCAAGATACTGTGAGATATTGCTTACCTAAGTGTGACACATCAGAAAATACGCAAATTAATACACTTCTTTCCTTTGCCGTATATTATTCATTGCAGCGCATATAAAAATAACTAGGTTACCCACAGGGCAGTAATGCTGCCTTTGACAGCAAAAGACAAACTACAGGGTCACAGAACAGGGTGTTGAACGAGTCCTTCAGAAATATCCTATTATTGTTTAGCCTGCATGGCAGGCGGTTCCTAAAATTGGGCAAGCCTGGGAAATACCGCCTGCCATGCAGGCTAATTATTGTTATCCTTGTTAACCCATTTATTGACAGTACCCTACCACTGACTGAGTATTAAAAATCGTCTGGCGTTGGACAGGGTAAATACTAAAGTAGGGGTCATTACTGTGCTGATGAATTAACAAGAGCCATTGGCAGATAGGTTTGTTAACCCATTTACTGGCAGTACCCGGCCTATACCACTGACGAGTAAAATCTTCTGGCGCTCGACAAGGGAAGGGCGCATTGCCAGCTAATGGGTTAAACAAGGAAATGTAAACAAGCTATCAGTGTGACATCGATAGTAGTCGATATAGTTTATATATCGATATAGTTTATATATTTATATACTCGGAATATTGATTTCTCGGTATATACAAAATTATTTTAAAGTATAACAACCAGCGAACACGTAAGGCACTAACTACCCTGCGCGGCTGCTCGCAGACTATATAACGACATATATATGTTATCTGTCCTGTCCGTCCGTCATTCATCCGTCCGTCCATATCCGCGTTTTATCCTAACCCGTTTTTAAAACACAAAGTTTGCATTTAATTAGGCAGTGCGGTTCGTCATGATCAATATTTTGAAAAGCGGCCAATTAGACCAGGGGTTAAAGGGCAAAGACAATGACATGCAGGTGACATTTAACATTGCATTTAACATTAAACACTAATTAAAATTTGCGTGTTTAATAGTGTTTATCAAAGAAAGCAAAAATATATACAAGACAATCTCACATGTGGAGTTTTTTCACTTACAGTACGTACTGCCTTGTGATGCAGTACAAGTATAAATACAAATGACAAAGCATTTGTAAATCCTAAAACATAATTAAATCATACGGCACATTTAAGATTTTAATATCGTATTTCAGCCGCGTTTATACTGTTTGGCGCATTCGCTGCGTTATATTCATTTACATGTATATACACAGAAAGCATGTCATTGTCCTTGCAGACCATAGGCAAAAAGCATTTGTCAACCATGCACATACCAAATTTAAGCAATCGTTAAATCATATACATGTTATGGAAAGATTATGGAAATAATGTTGAATGAAAGCTAGCATCGCGTATAATATTATAAAAGCACCGCATATAGTGCTCGAACCACTGCGTATAATTGCAAAAGCATCGCGTATATAAATGGTGAAAGCACCGCGTATAATGGCGAAAGCACCGTGTATAATGCCAAAAGCACCGCCATTATACGGCGGTGCTTTTGGCATTATACACGGTGCTTTCGCCATTATACGCGGTGCTTTAATTCACCATTTATATACGCGATGCTTTTGCAATTATACGCAGTGGTTCGAGCACTATATGCGGTGCTTTTATAATATTATACGCGATGCTAGCTTTCATTCAACATTATTTCCATAGTCTTTCCATGACATGTATATGATTTAACCCAACAAAATGCCGTTTGATCACTTTAAGCCAGCTATGGCTTTCCATAAAAGAAGACCAAAGATGAAACATGATCACATTGCCTGTTTGCCTTATGCCTGACCGCGCTGCACCACGGTTAAATTCACTGGTACCGTCATGCAATGCGCCAAATAGAAAATTTTGATTTCGACCCACAAAACAAAATTAGGATCTGCTGCCTTGCTCGCTCGCTTCAGGCTCGCTCGCTACGGCAGCAATTAGCATTTCCGGCGTCTCTCCTTTCATACCCTGCGAATTTTTCGGCATGCGGCAAAATTTCCGCTTTATTATACTTCATATTCTTCATATCAACAGTTTGAGAAAATATTTTAATCATTTTTAAAAACAAAATTGTTGCTTATTTCGATTTATAATGATATTTGTGTGTATTTTATGATTTTCGCCCACAGCCGAAGGCTTTAAGAGTTTAAGGCCAAGTAAAAAAAAATTAGTAGTTTCTCGTCCCCGCCCGCATCCTTTTTCCCTTCCGCATGGATTTTTTATTTTATTTTTTTTTATATTCGAGCCTTTCAAAGAATTTCCACTTACATATTTCGGCCATTTTGCTCCTTTCGGCCATTTTCCTCCATCGTTTGCCTTCGGAACTTTTCGTTAACTCTCGCTTGCTGTTCGGTACTTCGACCCGCCATACGCCCCGCTGTCTTACAGCTTACCGGGTAAACTTTTAAGAGCAATATTTGAAGGTTTAACAAAAAAAACGCCCGCGTTCTCATTTTTTTTCAAAATTTGGACGAGAAACTACTAATTTTTTTTTACTTGGCCTAAACGAGTTAACCGGTATTATAAAAATACCGGTTTTTCTCCGGTCTTTTGTGTGGAAAATGTGAAAATATGACAACGTAGCGATGGTGTTTATCCAGAAGCGAAACTCCGGCTTTAATGTCAATATACAGATTATTCCGTGAAAAATCAAGAGAATTATGGAACGAAAGTTTATTTTATAATTTGACATTAATATGATTTAAGAAAACAAGAGGTCAAAAAACGTCAGATGTTATTGATTCGCATGGAAAAATATGAACTGTGCCTTGTGGCTCGAAGACATTGCGCAAGCAGCATACACGTTTAAAAATTGAGGTACTCAGTAAACATACGCATTTGGATACAAAATAATTACGCAAATACATCTGCTCTGTTCTAGAACGCCTAGAACATTTGGAACACTGTTCTGCTCTGACTGTTCTGGAACGATATGAAGAGTGCACACGGTGTTCTGGAACAATGTTTAATTTATTGTATATATGCGTGCAACCATGCATTACTATATCATTAGTTATTCGCATAATAAATCGTATAATGATAAATATTCCAGGTTTTATGTAGATCGGCGGTCGGACAGCGATCATTTGAACACCGAGCAGTAGTCTGTATCTCTCTAGAATTCTCTATACCTAGTAGTATTACTGAACATGATAATTGTAAAAACTTTAATTTAAAATAATATAATTTTTTATAACTACTTGCTTGAACTGTTAAAGTGCACCTAACCTCAATTATTTTAACATCTCATTCCTAAGAATCTTTGAAATGATATTATAACTTATTTTGAAGATTTTCGTTTGCGGTTTGCACACTTTGTCTTTGAGTTATTTCAGTTTTATTGACATGCAAATGTACGGAATTTACGTCACATATAACTAATGACTGATCAAAGAATGTAATAAGGTAGAGTTAAATATCATGAAAATGATGAAATAAAAAGGCTACTGAAATGGTGTTTTACATAGGTATGTAATCCTCCCACAACTCCAAACTTCATTTTAATGAATTAAACTCGATAGTGAATACGACTGATACAAGCTTTTACTTCAGGGGCCGGTTGTATAAAAACGTAGTTAGCGCTAACTGCAGTTAAAAAGTAGTTAACTCTTTTTCGTTCGCTGCTGAAATAACCAGGGGCCGTTGTATAAAACTCTTAATCACTTTTTTAATCACTATTTTGTAGTTAAATAGTGATTAACTCTCAAATACGCGCTTTTTATTGGATGACGTTTCCACTAACTATAGTTAACTTTAATCACTTTTTTATACAATCGGCCCCAGAGCTTTTACTTTAAATCATTAGCTATGCATTTGTGACGTAAATTCAGGATATTTGCTTGCCAAACAAACTGAAATATCTCAGAAACAAAGTGAGCAAACAAAAATGTTCAAAATAAGTTATTATATCATTTCAGAAGTTCTTAAAGAATGAGGTTATAAAAATAGTTGAGGCTAGGTGCACTTTAACGAAAAATGAATTTTATCTTATACCATCGATTTTATAGACTGTAAATTAAATACATAATAGAATAATTTAGACATAATTGTACATGTAAATTAATCTGAAAAACCAATGTTTGGCGATTTAATTTAACATATATGCTATCGGCAATGATTTGCTGTTATTTGTATATCTAAGTATGTTTTTGTAACGTTTTTACTCGTTGATTCAAATAACATATAATAAGTGTGTGTCAATATATAGCGGTTATAACCCTTAAAAATAACACTCTATGAAGTGTGTATTGGATACACAAAATATGTCGCCTCCATTTCCAATCACGTGAAAATGGGCAGTGTCACGTATTTCTGTTCTAGCTGCCCCTACTTTGAAGTTGGGGCAGCCAAAACAGTTCCGAACAGTCATGTGAACGTGTCATAAATGCCATAAAGTGACTAAAATCCGGAGTACACGAACAGTAAATGGAGCCGGAGCCCCCGTTTATTGCTTTCTTTAAGCCTACCTCGCTTGTTAGAGGTTAGGGGCGGGGTTGGGGTGGGAGACAGGGATCAACACTGATACATTATAATAAGGGTCACACGAAATATATACCGTGTTCAGCACTTTTTTCCGCTGGATTGTGTGTTCAGCTCCCTTTGCGGACTCATTTTATCCGTATATGGAACTCGTGACCATATTTGGCGGGATGACGTTCTGAGAGGTTACTCTACTTCATCCATTTTTTGATTTGGTTCTAAAGTCCCCTGTTGCTCTTGTATGTCCACGGCTGTTTCGTCTTCGGCATTATTCTCATTGGCCAATGTAGTGTCCTTAGATACAGTATCGTATTACATCTTAAACTAATTACCTTATGCTTGTATATAATAGTTATTTCTTAATATCACATTACATTATTATTGCACACAAGTGCGTGCGTGTGTTCGATTCGAGGTTATAATATAAACACAACATCTGGCGACGAGGATACTTAAACAAAAAACGAAGTTTACGAATCCATCGCTTCTGTACTGCGTACACCACTTCTATAATCCAGATATCTACTGAACAGTCCTTCGACGCAAGGAAATCACGCCAAATTCCACGACAGACATTGCGAATTTGCGGTCAATATCAAGCACGAATCAACAGCGCCGCGCCACAACATTCAGTCCGTATGGCTACATCACTACCCGTTTTTCCACCGTTTGACGTTCACCTTGACCCTAATGCTGGTCCACGTTGGACCAAATGGCTTACTCGCTTTGAACGCTTAATTGTTGGCATGAATATAACTGATGCTACCCAGAAACGAGCGTTGTTATTACACTACGCTGGCCCAGATGTTGACGATATTTTTGAAACACTACCCGACACGGGTGAAGACAAAGATTATAAAAAAGCTGTAGAATGTTTAAACACGTATTTCGTTCCGAAAGTCAACATGGTCTACGAGGAATATCAATTTCGTCAGGCAAAACTGACAGCGCTCGAATGAAAACCTAGCTTCGTATCATACCCGGCTTAGACAGCTTGCTAAACACTGCGGTTTTGCTGACGTTGACAAAGAAATTCGCACACAAATTGTCTTCAGCTGTACCTCTCACAAGCTTAGACTACGTGCCCTTCGCGAGGACCTCAGTCTTACAGCCCTTCTCGAAGCCGGTCGTGTAGCTGAGATCACTGATCGACAAGCCAGAGACATTCAACCTACCAATACTGACCAAAGCGTCAATGCCCTTCCCTCACGTAACAAACCATATCCTGTCCACCCGGATCCGAATGCTCCGCCCCACACTCCCAACAATCAACGACCACACACTCATTCTCTCTGTCGAAATTGCGGCGGACCGTTTCCTCATGCTATTTCCTGCCCTGCCAACGGGAAAACGTGTCGTTCTTGTGGCAAAAATGGACATTTTGCCAAAGTTTGTCGCTCCAGACCCCAGCAACGCCCTCGTTTTGTCCAACAAATAGCTGATGATCCTGAGCAAGACCCTGCCTATACCGTTGTTATCCACTCCGAGCCGCAAGTCCTCAACACCTTTTCGCCATCCAGTGCGCCCCTCCGCCCCTCTCCATCTTGCATCGTTAACATTGGTGGCCAGCCCATCTTTGTCCTTGTCGATTCCGGTGCTTCTGCAAACCTCCTTGATGAAGCGACCTACAATTCCATCACCCATAACACGCGACTCTCTGCCATGTTAAACCCTCCCACCACCAAAATATACTCCTACGGCTCCACCACTCCTTTACCTTTACTCGGAAGTTGGTCCACCTCTGTTCGTCATAAGTCCACAACTGTTAATGCTACGTTCCACGTCACAAAAGGCAACAGTGGCAATCTTCTCAGTTGCACTACCGCCCAACAACTCAACCTATTAACCCTTAACGTTAATTCCACCATGTCTGCTCAAACCATCCTCCATGCCTTCCCTCATCTGTTTGACGGCATTGGCCAGGTTAAAGGGAAAGAAATCAAGCTCCATATCTCAAACACTGTAACCCCAAAGCAACAGCCACAACGCCGCATTCCTTTCCACGTACGCAAAGACGTTGAGCAAGAACTGAAACGCCTCGAACAGCTCGACATCATTGAAGCCGTTGACGGGCCAACGCCATGGGTAAGTCCCATTGTGGTGGTACCCAAGAAATCAGGTGAAATACGTATATGTGTTGACATGCGTGAAGCCAACAAGGCAATCGGAAGAGAAAAGCACCTCATGCCAACCTTAGATGACCTCATCGCCGACTTGAACGGAGCGTCCGTTTTTAGCACCCTTGATCTTGCTTCCGGTTACCACCAGCTAACCCTAGCCCCAGAAAGTCGTCACATCACCACCTTCAGCACCCACGTTGGGCTACGTCGATACAAGCGCCTGATGTTTGGTATCAACGCTGCATCCGAGATATTCCAGAACGCCATCGCTGAACTGCTTGCTGGACTACCCGGATGCAAGAATATCTCTGATGATATTATTGTGTACGGAAAAGACCAACTCGAACATGATCTTAACCTCCAAGCTGTCCTTCAACGCCTCTCAGATTACAACGTGCGCTTAAACAAGGACAAATGCCACTTTTCTCAGTCCCAAGTGTGTTTCTATGGTCATATCTTCAGCGCTAAAGGAGTCCAAGCCGATCCTGCGAAAATCGACTCCATCCAACAAGCCCGCGCTCCTCAAAACGTCAGCGAAGTTAAGTCTCTGCTTGGTTTGTCCCAATACGTCTCTCGATTCATCTCCGACTACTCTACTATCACTGCTCCACTACGTGCTCTCACTCGAACTGACGCCGAGTGGAAATGGACGACCGACGAACAAACGTCCCTCAACAACCTGAAAGCAGCGCTAACGGGACAGAACGTAATGTCCTACTTTGATCAAAACAAGCCAACTGAAATCATCGTCGATGTCAACCCTGTCGGTCTCGCTGCCCTTCTCGTTCAAGATGGAAAAGTCATCAGCTACGCCAGTCGCGCTTTATCTGACGTCGAAAGTCGTTACTCGCAGACGGAACGCGAAATGTTAGCCGTCGTTTGGGGAGTTGAACACTTTCATCTTTACGTCTACGGCTCACATTTTCAGATCATCACGGATCATAAACCTCTTCTCGGCATCTTCAAGACCCAGAAACCTGCAACACCGCGCATGGATCGATGGAAACTCCGCCTCATGCCTTATAATTGCCAGTTACAATATCGCCCTGGGAAAGACAACCCCGCTGACTTCATGAGCCGCCATCCCAAACCAGTAAATTTCATAAACGAAACTGAGAACTTAGCTGAACTTTACGCAAATTATGTTTGCTCGAATGCCATTCCCAAAGCCATGACTCGTGAAGAAGTCAAACTTGAAACCAAGCTGGACCCTCTCCTCCAAAAAGTAGCCACCGCGATTTCCCTCAACAACTGGACCGATCCAACTGTCGAACGCTACCGCCGTTTCCAAGACGAATTGATGGTCTGTGACGAAGTTATCCTCCGTGGAAACCGTATTGTTCTCCCACAGTCCCTGCACAATCGAGCCATCGAGTTAGCCCACCTTGGCCATCAAGGCATTGTTAAAACAAAGCAACTCCTACGCGAAAAAGTCTGGTTTCCAGACATTGACAAAATGGTTGAAGCCAACGTCAAGATGTGTTTGCCCTGTCAAGCCTCTACCCCAGGAACGTCTTCACCTCCAGAACCACTGAAACCCTCCCCGCTCCCAGAGAAAGCGTGGACCAATGTAGCAGTTGATTTCGTTGGACCATTCCCCACAGGCGAATACCTGATAGTCGTGATTGATGAATACAGTCGATACCCCGAAGTCGAAATTCTCACCACAACATCCGCGAAAGCCGCAATTCCAAAGCTTGATGCCATATTCTCCAGACAAGGCATCCCTGAGATTCTCAAGTCAGATAATGGCCCTCCATTTAATGGTGAAGAGTTTGAGAACTTTGCTAACCACCTCGGTTTTAAGCACCGCAAGATAACCCCATACTGGCCAAGAGCCAACGGCGAAGCTGAACGCTTCATGAAAACTATCGAGAAAGCAATTCGAGCTGCCACTGTTGAAGGTCGGAACTGGAAACAAGCCATGTATACCTTCCTTTGCCAGTATCGTGCCACACCACATATCACCATCTCCGTATCCCCCAGCGAAGCACTAAATAACCGAAAGCTAAAAACTCACCTTCCAGATTCCCCATCAACCACAAGCAACTCCGAGAAAGATGAGGAGATACGTAGTCGAGACGAAAAGAACAAATCAACCATGAAATCATACAGCGACAAACGAAATCGTGCCAAGCCAAACAACATCACCCTCGGCGACACTGTCCTCCTACGACGACCGAAATTGAATAAACTGTCCACACCATTTGACCCTGAGCCCTTCCACGTTGTAGCAGTTAAGAACTCGATGATCACCGCAAGAAACAGGCTCAGAACAGTAACGCGCAATTCCTCCTTCTTTAAGAAAATACCTCATCTCCCTGTTCATCTCGAAACCTCCGACGACGAAGACCACCCACCTGAAACAAACACCCAACCTTCACAACCGCCTTCGCCACCACTGAGGAGATCCTCTCGACAACCAAGACAGCCGGAACGCTATGGTTATGCGAACGCAACAATATATACATTTTGAAACGTAGCACAATTTTAGTTTATTGACAACTACGAACTGATAATCGTTAAAGGTGATCTACAGTCCGATCTGCGCATGTGCACAAATGAGCCCACTTTTTATGATACAAACAGTTTAACTATGTTTTGAGTTCTTGAAAAGCCTAGTTGTTGTTTCTTGATCATTTATTACACTCTAGAAGCTTGAAAATATAAATAGTTGTCGAATAAAGCTCAATATTTTGGACACAAAAATGTAAACAAAGGCTTTGTTTACATACGGACTGTAGATCACCTTTAACTAACATTTTTAGATTTAAAAGAAAAAACATTTTATAAAGAAGGGGAGGGATGTAGTGTCCTTAGATACAGTATCGTATTACATCTTAAACTAATTACCTTATGCTTGTATATAATAGTTATTTCTTAATATCACATTACATTATTATTGCACACAAGTGCGTGCGTGTGTTCGATTCGAGGTTATAATATAAACACAACAGCCAAGGCTGGAATATCTGAAACTGGTGGCGAGATCTTGAGTGTCAGTTATGTTCTGCGGCAAGTAACTGATCGATGTGTCTCTTCCAGTTAAGGTCCGGTTCGAGCACGCACAATCCTTGAATCCACTTTTCCTTCCCTCTGTAATTTCACGTACATTACCAGACATAGCACCTTTGGGTTTGGCTTGGCTGACTTGTTTGCCTATAACTTTGCTATAATATGCTTCTGAATATCCGGTTTGATCAAGTCTAACCGTGTGTGTAAATTTCGTCCCATGAACAGAGTTGCTGATGTTTCACCAGTAGTGCAGTGTGGTGTGTTTCTATATTTCATTAAGAATTTCGATAGTTTGGTCTGCGTGAAGTCTGGGTCTTCCTTCATTGAAGTCTGAGATTGTTTTATGGTTTGAATGAACCTTTCTGCTAAGCCGTTAGTAGCTGGATGATATGGTGCTGAAGTTATGTGTCAGTTTAAAACCGTTTTTCTTTAGAAACAGCTGGAATTCTTCTGCAGTGAATTGAGGTCGTTATGCTAACCAGTTGTTCTGGTAACCCATTTCGAGCAAACACTGTTCACAGAGCTTCGACAGTTTTAGAGGTGTTTTAGAGCGCATACATGATTGTTACCTCTGGCCATTTCGAATAAGCGTCCACGACCACTAAAAACATCATTCCCAGAAATGGTCCTACAAAATCAACATGAATGCGTTGCTGGGGGGGTAGATGGCCACTCCCATGGGTGTGATGGCCACTCCCATTTGGGTGCATGTTGAACCCGCTAGCAAACACTGCATTCTTTTGCTAGCCTTCAGCGGCGGCGGAACAGATTTCATTCTGGGGGGTCTAAATTTTTTCGGCGACCTCCCCCCCCCCCGCGTCGCTTTTTTTCGGACTTATATCTAAAAATTTTTTCCGAAATAGACTTTTTTTAAACAAAATATTGCAAATTTGTCCCGTCATACCTAAATTTTCAAAACATAACCTCCATTTTTCCATAATTATCAAACTTTTTTCCAAAAATTCAAATTTTCTGGGGGGGCTAAGCCCCCCCACTTTTACTTCTGGGGGGGCTTTAGCCCCCCTAGCCCCCCTGTTCCGCCGCCCCTGCTAGCCTTTCAATCTTCAGATCAATTCCTGGCCACCAGACGTACGTCTTGCCAGAGCTTTCATTCTGAGCAAACCAACATGACTTTCATGTAATACTTGTAATACTTTGCTTCTTAACTTTGTGGGAATGACAACTCTGCTCCCCCACATAATACATCCTTGGTGCATAGTTAGTTCGTTTCTTCAAGAATAAAACGGTTGCAGGTTTGAATCTTTATTTTCATGCCAGCCTTTCATGACATGCTCATACACTTGGCCGAGGGTAGAATCTGGGTGGGTTCCTTTGCGTACATGCTGGCAAGTGACATGCAATATGTTGAACTGTGACACATGAAATGCCTCAGCCGGGTCAACAGACTGAATTTCTTCAGTTGTTGCTCGAGGTAGACGGGACAATCCATCTGCATTACAATGCTGTGTTGAACTACAGTGTTCAATCTCGTAGTAAAACCCTGAAAGAAATAGTACATATTGTTGGAGTCAAGCAGCAGTTGTTGCTGGTTGCCTTGGTTGGACTGAAAATTACTGTCAATGGTTTATGATCTGTTCGCAGGGTGAAATGTCGTGCAAATATGTAAGTATGGAATTTCTTCACACCCTATACTAAAGCCAATGCTTCTTTATCTAGCTGAGAATAATGTTTTTCAGTTTTTTCCCTGACCTTGAAGCATAAGCTATAGGTCTTTCAGTATTATCACCCATGACTTGTGTTAAAACTGCCCCATCCCATACAGAGAAGCATCGCATTCTAACTTGATTGGGCGTTGAGGGTCATAATGTGCAAGAACTTACTTCCTCAGATGCAATTAACTCCTTTGCTTTCAGAAAAGTAAGCTGGCATTCCGAGGTCCATTTTCACCATCTTTTTCGATCAACTCAGGTCTAGTGGTTGAAGTAAGGTAGAATGGTTTGGAAGGAAATTGTGCATGGCAATAATTAATAAAACGAACAAAGGAACGAAATTGGGAAACATTCTCAGGACGTGGTGCATTTATCACAGATCAACGCTCATATATCCCGTTCCCCTTTGCGCGGCTATAATATACCATAGCATCCACTTTCTGTTGGGACTTTTTAGACCCAGCTTGCTGACCTCATGACCTCAATTCGTTCTTTGAAGAACTCACACTCACTGCTGTTGGACCATGTTTACTAAGTCGGCTGAGAACTTCTACTAGGTCGTCAAGATGCTCTTGGTCGGTTGGAACAGAAATGATCGTCATCAAGGAAAAATTGCACATGGGGAATCCCTTCCAATATCTGATCCATAGTTTGTTGCCAGATTGCGGAGGAAGATGCTACACCAATACAAGCCGATTGTAGTAGAAACTACCTTTGTGGGTATTAATTTTTAGTAATTTCCTTGATTCTTCTTCCACTTCCATCTGTAAATATGCCTGTCGCAGATCAATCTTGCTGAATTTTTGTCCACCTCCAAGGAAGGCAAAAATATCATCAATCCTTGGGACGGGATTGACGGTTTGCTTGAATTCACTGCACAGTCGAACATTGCCATTCTTCTTTATCACGGGAACCGGGGTTGACCATTCACTCCAATCAAATTTGGTCAAGATGCCGTCATCAGTTTGCAACTTGGTCAAATCAGCCTCAACGTTTGGTCGCAGAACATATGACACTTGTCTTGTTTTGTTTTAAGAACTTTGGTTGGCTGGTTTCCTTCAGGTTCAGCTTTGCTTTGGTGGTCTTTAGCAGACCGATATCTTCTTCGAAAACATCATTATACTTATTGAGGATCTCTTGTAATCGGGTTGATTCATTGCTTTCCAATCTACAGTAGTGTGATTTTTTCTAGCCAGTCTCGACCAAAAATAAGGGCAGGTACCTTTGTTTCGGCCACATATAAACTTAGCTTCTGCATTTCTTCTTTATACTTAACTTGGACATTCAAGACTTCTACGGGTTGGATTCTCTTCCCAGTATAGGTTTTGAGGACAGTGGTTGTTTGGTGAAGTTTGCTTGGCTTAAACGTCGTGGTATATTTACTAAGTGGAAGCACAATTAGGGCAGAGCCAGTGTCTAATTCCATTTGCAGGGATTCTCCTTCCACTTCAAGAGTTATCCAGATTATATTAGTGTCGGCTTTGGAAAACCTTGTGCAGTTCTAGGGATGCCAAGGTGCCCTCGCTATCAATATCCCTTTCGCTTTTATATAATGTTCACAGGAGGTACTGCCTTGGTTTCCCCCCTCAACTCAACTGAATCTTTCATGGCCGTTTCCAAAGCTGGTTTCGACAAGTAAGTGTTTCTGAATAGATTCATTATATAGTCCACAAACAAATTCTGTCTCTTAACGAGTCATTTAACGCTGTACCAAACTCACAATGTTCGGATAACTCCTTAATTTCAGCCACATAAGTATTAATATTTTTGTCTCTTTTTTGATCCCGCTTATGATATCTCAATCGTTCTGCGATCAATAGGGACTTGGGCGACAAATGTCCCTGTAAGATTTCCACTATTTCATTTTGATTAAATGATTTGGTCGAAGGTTTGTCACGAGAAGTCAGTGTTCGTAATAAACTATATGTCTTACCTCCGATTTCTATCATTCCTCGTGGCGATGACCCCCAAAGCATCATGGATCATACACCACACTATCTAAAGACGGGCTGGAACCATCACCTACCTTTATACACTGTCGGATCGATTACTTTGGGCCTTGGCTTATTAAAGATGGACGACGCGAACACAAACGGTATGGTGTTTTATTCATTAATGCGTTACGTCTTTCCTGGCGAGACGCGGTACCATAAGAGTGCTACGATCCGATCAAGATACAAACCTCGTAGGAGCTCTTAACGAACTTACAGAAGCCTTGAAGGAAATGAATAGAGAGACGTGCGAGATTTCCTGCTAAAAAACCAATGCGCCTGGATGAATTCCAAACAAACGTTCCAGCTGCTAGTCATATCACTCATATGGGAGGATCGTGGGAACGTCAGATAAGAACCGTTCGTAACATTCTCGACGCCCTACTAAATCAGTCTGGAACAACTGAACGAGGCGTCACTGCGCACCTTCGTGTATGAAACGGAAGCGATAGTTAAGAGCCGACCATTGACCATCAAGTCAACAACCTAACCTCACCCAAACCACTCGTTTACGATGATGTCTTGTGTTCTCTTACCACCGCCTGCGGAATTTCAGAAGGAAGACATGTACAGTACCTAGTGAAACGCTGGCGAAGAGTGCAATATCTGGTAAACCAGTTCTGATCGCGCTGGTGAAAGAAATTCCTGTTTTCACTGCAGTAGAGGCAGAACCTCGGCGGAATATGCCAACCAGGAAATATCGTGTTATCGGAAGGTAACGTGCCAAGAAATTGTTGGCGTATGGCTCGCATAGAAGAGGCTTATACTAATGAGGACGGAATTGTGCGAAAGGTGAAGCTTGTTATAAACCGTCCTTCACTGCATCGAAAGGGAGAGCGTGTTCGTGTCAAAAGCGTGTTGGAACGACCAATCCAGAAGTTGGTGTTAGTCTTGAAATTGGATGGTGATCAAAATGAAGATAAACGATTCCCGACGGAGAGCCTAACTGGACGATATGTTTTAAGAAAAGCTTTAGCACTTTAAGTTTATACATTGTAAATTATAATTGTTTGATTGAACCAATTTAAGGGAGCCATGTAACTGTAGGCTCACTTCAGAATTTAGAACCCAGGCTTTGCACGAACAGTTTTTGGCTCGGCCGCCCGAGCTTGGGCCTGGGGACGAGGATGCTCATCTATGCGAACGTTCGTATAGTTTACAGCCATTAACATTCAGAGACTTGCGATTTTTTATATTTTATTTCCTATTTACGTGTATTTAAAGTAAACGTAATTCGTTTTACGTCAAGTAATTCAGGTTTAATATACTCAATGAAACGTTGCGTAATAACACACGTTGATTCGGCGAACGTCCGTAGTTATAGTCGGTGATCCCGAGCAGTTTTGCGATTCTTATTAGAAAAACTAATTTCTAATCGGACTTTCTTTGTTTTTTAAACATACAGGAAATGTTGAAAAATTGGGTAAAAATCGAGATCTTCCATTTTCTAGTAAACTGTAGGAAGGCCGAAGCCAACTTAATATGATCTTACGATATATTAGTATTACAATGTATTCTAAACTCCCACAGGTATTGACGTTAGAGTGATTTGTAAATGGTCACTTTTTTGAGACACCCTGTACATGAAATACAGTCAGTGTGCAACGGGAAAGGTAAAGTAAGAAAGGTTGATAGGAGAGTCTAGCCGGATACAATTATCTTTCATTCTCATGTACGCTCAGTTATTTAGAAACACCTCCCTTAATTGTGCGATTGTGACACCGGCGGACAAAAGTTTGTTCAATTCTTCGTCAAACTGCACGGAGAATTGCAAATATCTTGTCGTCTTGCTGGAGGATTTCAGCAAGAGGGAATACCCTGCATGGGCACGAGTTTGGGATTTCAGCAGACCGAGCATCGTGATCGTAACTCGAGAACGGCTGCCAAACTAAACTAGCACCAACTCGCTATATGGCGTAGTTGCCTTTTCTCAACAAACGGTGAATACGATCGACCGATATGAGTCCTGCTCTTGACGTTCGGGTGTTTGGTTTGATTTCCTTAGTAATTCGAACAGGCGACGAAGAGTAATTCGAAGCGGCGACGATAACAAGACAACTGCATGGCAATTGAGGGAAATACAACTATACCTGAAAATATAAGCAAAACTAGTTTATACACAGTGTAAGTCATATATTTTGGTGGAGGTAAAAATTTCATTGAATAATATCTACTGAATTCTGCAAAATACCCCCCCCCCCCACCTCCCTCCCTCCCAACCGTGTCCTGTATTTACATTGTATTTACATAGACCACAGGGGCCTAGGCTCTATTTGCCCGCGCCCCAAATAGAGCCTCATGGGCCTGTTGTGCATTAACCTAACTTGTGCATAGACTGGTACTTTTAAACTTCCAGAAAGTACGATATTTGTCACCGAGGACACTTCCAGAAAGTACGATATTTGTCATCTAATTAATTAATGTTATAATTCGTTGTTGAAACTTATTATAGTTCAATGCCAATGAGGAGTATATATGAACTGCTGCCTGTACGGAGCTCGAGAATTGGAGGTACTAGAAATAAACAATTCTGTCGTCTCCAACGTATCTCCACGAACAATGATTGAACCCTTGTGGCTTGTCTTGAACTGAATCCTCCAAAATGCAATGAAATTTCTTTCAAGCTAGGTTCTGTTTGTTTGAAATTGGCAGTTTAAAATGACACTAAAAACCTAATATAAAATATAAAAAAAATTAAATGTCTTGTCGGGCGGTACTTTATACTATATAACGAAATATAAAAACATTTTCACAAGGCTCTTAAAATACAGTCGGGCGGTGATGACTGATGGAGTGATGAGAATCAAGGAATTTATCGGTTTATGTGGCCTTAACACTCTGACTTTATATATACAGTAGTTATAGCGCTTGGCGGCATGCTAAAGACGCCATAGCTAGACCATGAAAACAAGCTTTCGTTGGTAGGGATGCAACTACCTGAAATATAAGGAGAATTTCGACGTTTAGAGCGAAGGCCCTTCGTAACTGCAGACGAAGGGCCTTCGCTCGAAACGTCGAAATTCGCCCTTATATTTGTCAGGTAGCTGCATCCCTACCAACGGAAGCTTGTTAATATTATTGGCACTACCTAGTACCTGGCACATAAAGTTCTAGACCATAAAAGATCTTTATTTCATGCTGATATTATTGGCATTCCGGAAGCTTCCTATGCCCACAGAATAAATTCAAATCTATCACCTTATCTGTCATTCTTAGTCTAATTTCACGTTCAAACATTGTTGACGTCACGTGTGTGGCTGGGCAAATCGCCGTGACGAAGAGCCCACGCCATAACATATCGAAGAGCGAACGTACAAGTCTGGGCTAAATAATAGCGAATAAACTAAGGTCCTTCGCTCAATAAACAACGCTACACAACCGGCAGTACTTTGGACAAACAGTGCTTTACGAAGCAAGAGTATTTTTGATGTTTTCTAACGAGGTAAGACAAAGAAATGATCGATACAATTTCGTTTCCAACAATGATTCAATTAACCGAGAATTCCTCATAGTCATGTATGTAAGTTTCATAGTTACACAATGTCATTGTATTTTAGTATTCTGCTATCATTTCCAAATATTCTAAACACATACTATAATGCGATATTAGCATGAATTCTGTATGCCGGGAATGTACAAATGAGGACACACAATTCAGTAATGCGAATATCAGGCATGCCAGTTGCTAGACATCAAAGCGGGGATCGGAATATTACGGTGTTATTCAGTTTCACTGTACGCAAATCGTGTTAAAAGCACGTACTCTATGATCGCTAATCAGTAACGAATTTGATGTCCGCTGATAAAAATATGTATAAATCGATCGAGAACGAACGCAATTCTGTAGTTCAGCGTATTTAAAAGTGTAGTTACGAATTGGCGCGCACGTTTTGCTAGTATTGATTTTCATACGTGATTGCTTCAATGAATTGTTCACATTTCGATTTTTATCAGTCGTTCCACGGCACTCGTAAAAAAAGTGAAGACCTAACCTACATGTATTAAGAAGTCAAGAACTTTCGAGTGTATGTCTGAGGGAACTTTTTCTCTCGGCAGAAATGTACGCATATTAAGCATGACAGTGAGGGGATATAAAATTATCTTGGCCAACTGAGTCGCGGGATTAAACAGGATTTTCCCAGAGAACAATGAAATATTTGCGACTCTATGGCTACGCGCTGTTTATAAAGAATATCAAATATTTTGCAACTTCTTTATATCTACGTAGAGAGAGTTTAGAATAAAACCAGTTTCGAAGAAAACCTCGAAAACTGCATGCAACTATGTAGATATTAAATTCGGTCTCACATGTAATGCGTAACTATAAAGCCTTATTAAACTTTTATATGTGGAATTCACATACTTTCTTAATAAATAGTGTATTACATTATTACTTCACTTTTCAGTAGCCCTAGAAGAATCTATTTGTGCTCAGCTATCAACCTATTATAGCCATGGGAAATGCCTTTCAAGCGCTTCCTGATGGGATGAAAAGAATTCCAACAAAATATCGTGCAGGGAATATTTTCCCTGGCATTTATATATTACGGAAGTGAACGCGTTGTATTACTTCTTTCAGGCAGTACTAGCGAATGTAGGATATAATTTAATACCCCAAAAGGCTTCCGAAAGCCACATATGTTTGGATTTCGCAAGTAGCCATTTCGCAAGAGTTGACAAGACAGCAGTTACTAATTAGTCACGACAGGATCTGATACGTGGATAACTCGTCAACAAACGAAACACGTAAGCATCATATCAACAGGGATACACCCATATTACAAGAACTTGCCAGAAAGTGCATTGAAATGTGAACAAGTCAATTGTTAGATCTAAACATTATTGTCGTTTGACAAAGCAGCATTCGGACGGCATTTGAACGCATCTTTGCCTGTAAATGACACGAAATTGTAATTTAAAACAGACAAAATAAATCCATTGAATAAAATTAGACTGGCTGTAATGACGTATACAATTAGTCTGCACTAATGTCAGCCACTCGATGTCATGGAAACAGCAACGTCATTTGAACAGGCGCTTATTGCGACCTGCAATGGTGCACGCACGAAACTTAGCTTATTCTCAAAGCCAACTGCGATTTGTCGTGTACGATTCGTTTTCTGGCGTATGTAATCGAATAAGCACGCGTAAAATAGTTTCATTTCAAATTTCGCTGTGAACGAAGAGAAATTGTTGGCGTCAGGAGTAATTTTCATACGCCAGAATATGAATCGTACACGACAAATCATAGCGTGTAAAACGTGTCTTTAAAGGTCTTTAATTAAAGTAGTTGCATTTCAAGTTTAGCCATAAAGTAAAGGAAGAGGAATTGCGGCATCAGCAGTATTTTTCATACGCTACACGACAAACCGCATCGTGTAAACGTATTAAAAGCCCCGGCGAGGATGAAAGTTGACAACAAGAGTTAGCACTCACGCGTTAATTATTGATACGGGGAATATTTCAAGCTCTAGATTATAAAATAACAAAATAAAAGTTTGATGAGTGTTCCAACTATGTTTTAACTTTAATATTTGGTATGATATGAAACCTTTATTTGCATAGGGCAATGACGGCAATCCCATCAGTGATACGAATCACTGTTGGCATACTTTTCGAAACCCGGACCGGACTCGGACCCGGACCCGGACTCGGACTCGAAGAAAATCCGGACTCGAGAAAAACCCGGACCCGGACTCGAAGAAAATCCGGACTCGTGTTTAACAAAACCCGGACTTGACTTTTGAAAACCCGGACTCGAAATAAGGCAAAACCGGATTCAAATCAAGGACTCTGTGTACGAAAATGCAAAGGTTTTTTGGAAAGGTTTAATAATTAGTAACATGATAAACGATGATCTCTTTATATCTTTATCTCGATATTTTTAATCTTCTGCTGTTAACAAAATAATCACTTAGATATACTTAGGCACTTATAAGTTATTAAAAACTAAAATGTATTGATGCACAACGATCTACACTTAGTAGCTAGTACGAGGGTAGCATGTTGATTGTTGATTTTCAAAATAACGTTAACTTGATTTATTGCCAAACTTCATTGTCAGTATCGAGCCGCGGTTGTATGCAAGGCATATGGGGCAATTGATGAACGCATTGCCTAACGAGAGAGTCTCAATATCAAATTTACGCCAACCATCCAACGCGAATTTCACTGTTGGCCGCGGCCGGGCGGTGCAGGCTTGCAGCTGTTGCTTTCATTGTGATGTGTTTTCTACTACTTTCGGATAAAGAATAATTGCGGGTGTTCAATTCGTGTTTATGGACTTTATATTAACGAAATAGAGAAAATAAACGTGTTTCCAGTAGCGTCTTGTCCAACTATTTGAGAGCATATTATAATATCAAATTTACGTCCATCCGCACAACAACGCTCGAATTACTTCACAGTCGGTATTTAGGCGCGGTTGTCGGGATACCTTCATTGCCTTCAACATGAGATGTGCTTTTCCGGCGTTCTTTTCGATTGGTTGAAGTTATACTTTTGATTGGTTGAAGTCTAGTTATTTTTCGTGTCATTTTGCCGATAGTGAGGTCGAATATGTTGAGGATATATTTTACCCTTGCCGCCATCGATCACGTTGAGTCTGCTATGCTGAGTCAGATTTCAGTTATTAATTTATGTCTAGGGTAGATTTAGGAGTTTGACTAATGGTCGCGGGTCGCGTGTCGCGGGTAAAAAGTCGCGGTTCGCGGGTAAAATGTCGCGTGTCGCGGGTAAAAAGTCGCGGGTCGCGGGTAAAATGTCGCGGGTAAAAAGTCGCGGGTCGTAAAAAAGCTCTAAACCGTGTATTTTATTGAGTCGCGGGTTGAATAAGAGTGTGTAAAAATCACATTAACATTTAGTTATTTAATGGTTTTTATCAATAGTTGTTCGAAGATGTTATGCCGGGCTGTAATTGCGAGTTTCTAGATAAATATATAGACAAGAACCATATAACATTATTGTAAAGCACGTTGATAGACGGTAATGCAAAAGGATCCTGTTACACATTCCTATGTTTATAGACCTGATTTTAGTAATACATATTACCATCCAATTTCTACCATATCAGGCGTAAAAATCCGCTATTCAGTAGCTCAGTGAGCGTTGCCTCTGCGCATCGATCAGTACTTTCCAGAAACAAGTGCTAGAGAACAGCGACTTAGGTATCCGGGTTGTTGATGAATCATAATGTACTTTTATAATGTCCTAGCATGGATATATCTATTATTTGTGATACTATATGATTGTTTTTATATTGGTATAAAACTGATTGTAATTATAGTAGTGGTAAACTGAACTTATTTCTACCAAAGTCTTGTTTGTTTCTTTCAGAACATATTTTTTGATTAGAGGATTTTTGTCATGGTACAATTGTTGGTTTAACATATTGAAATTATTCTTTCAAGTTTTAGGCTTCTGGCACGTTTATATAGAACCATTAAATCATGACAAAAGGCTCTTGGGCAGTATTTCGTATTGAAGCAATCCTATATAGTTGTTTACTAAATGATAACGTGATTTTACACACTTTATTCAACCCGCGACTCAATAAAATACACGGTATGGAGCTCTTTTACGACCCGCGACTTTTTACCCGCGACATTTTACCCGCGACATTCTACCCGCGACACGCGACTTTTTACCCGCGACACGCGACCATTAGTCAAACTTATTAAATCATGACAAAAGGCTCTTGGGCAATATTTCGTATTGAAGCAATCCTATATAGTTGTTTACTAAATAATAACGTGATTTTTACACACTTTATTCAACCCGCGACTCAATAAAATACACGGTTTGGAGCTTTTTTACGACCCGCGACTTTTTACCCGCGACATTTTACCCGCGACCCGCGACATTCTACCCGCGACACGCGACTTTTTACCCGCGACACGCGACCCGCGACCATTAGTCAAACTCTAGATTTAGCTACTCGCAGGAGTATGTATTTTACAAATATGTTGTGTATGGTCAGCGTGGTTAAATAAATTTTTAAATTAAGTAAGTAAGCAAGTATGTACAAGGCTAAATGATTTGTTTAGGTAGGCTATATAGTGATTGTTTTGTGAGGAACCATATAGTATGATAACTGATTAGTATCCTCAGATAACGCATAACACTGAGTCACTAGAAGAAAAAAATATCTATATCTTTCGAAACCAAAGCTTATTGCTTTTGAAATAAAGTATTTTATTATGTACAAAAGCGAGAAGAGAAAGGGGCACCCGAGCAAGAGCACAAATCCATTTATCCGCGAGTTATTACCGATAAAACCTTTGCATTCTCGTGCACAGAGTCCTTGTTTTGAATCCGGTTTTGTGTATTTCGAGTCCGGGTTTTCAGAAGTCAAGTCCGGGTTTTGTTAAACACGAGTCCGGATTTTCTTCGAGTCCGGGTCCGGGTTTTTCTCGAGTCCGGATTTTCTTCGAGTCCGAGTCCGGTCCGGGTTCCGAAGTATGCCATCACTGTTATCAACGGGAGCCCTATATTTGGACAGCTAACTTTGGTCGCGTGACTGCCAACTCTCATCAACTTTCTTCCTCCTTTGACCAGCGGCAGGGTGTAACATTACACGAGGCAATTTTTGCTGCAACTTGCAACGGAATTCCTTATTCCTGACCTAGAGCCATGAGATTTCCAATTAGTTCAGGGATTGTTCTAAAGAAATTTTAGTGGAATGAGTTTCAAGTGAATAATATTGTTTATGGTTGTTGGGGGTACATGTTGGGGTTACATGCATGCATGCAATCACGAAAATAGTATATCCTATATTTACAGCTTTCTTATCCGCTTTATCCGCTCTACTGTTGAGATTTGTTTGGAGAGTTCCTTTGACCATTCGCATATCTGTTTTCCGCACCATTATATATATATATTGGGATTATTTTTTATGTTCTAAATGTTTTAATGTTTTAAAGTGCCACTGCGATGGAAAATTGTGCTGTCTTTTTATTGTATATTCAGAAAGTATGTCTGTAGATAAACAAAATCACCAAATATCAGCGTCCAATTCCATTTCCTTCTGCCTTTTTTTTCAACGCAAACATGCAAAATTTTCGGCCGCCATTACTGAGTTGCCAATTAGCGAGATGTTGATTTCTTAGCCGGATGTGACGTCATTTACTCAACACGCTTCTTTCCCGAAGGAGAAATTAATATTATCAAAGGCTTATACTAGGCTGTTTTTTGTTCAAAATTATGTCTTCTGACGAAAGCCACAGCTCAAATTTTGCAACACAATCATCTTGCGAACTCTCTTTTGCCGAAGACGTTTCTTGTGATAGCGGGGGTGATGTAAATATGGAGAAAAGTGTGGATTTGTGCGAGGCCTATGATACTTCAGTCGAGCCTGTCGAGGCTCTTGCCACTGAAAAAACATAATACACGAAAAGTACTATAACTGACAGAGAGCAAGAGCAGCAAACACTGTCTGCTGGATTGTCTGGGGAAACCTTAACGGGCACCTGGTACGTTTTGGATTGTATTTATTTACGTTTTGGTTTATATATTTGTGACATAAAACAAACATGTGATGGCCATGTTTAACAAAACAAATGGTCACTGGTCTCCTTATAAAAAATCATTGTCACC